GTCACCTCTTGGTTGGCGAATCATTGCGTTCGTTGCCTGAGAGATCCCTCGAAAACGTCAAGTTGTCGAATTTGGACCGCTACGACATGATCACCGCCGTCAAGCAACGGTTTTGGCAGCAATGGTCGATGGATTACGTCAACGAATTGCGATCTCGCACGAAATGGACAGCACCCTCAACGAATCTCACTGAGGGCACAATGGTCATCATTCATGAGGACAACCTGCCCCCACTACGCTGGAAACTAGGCCGATGCAGTCTACAGTGCTCGGAAGGGATGGTCGTGTACGCGTGGTGCACCTCCGCACCGCGAATGGAACTTGCTGCAGGCCAGTACACAAGTTGGCAATTCTTCCGGTAGTTTGAAAGCAATCCTTTCAACGGGGCCGGGATGTTCGATCAAACTCTTAAGGCCATAATATAATATAATAATCACTTAAATGACCCTCGCCTTGTGGTACCTTACGCTCATGTTTTACTCTCTTTGTTACGCTCTTGCACTAAATTTGTAATTGAATTCACCACACAGAAGCCCGCTTATGCTCAGTGCTCATGCACTTAGAAACCAAATAAATAGTCATTGGCTAGCACTCAACTGAACCCCCTCGACCTTGCGGATTATTATTGGATTCCAGCAGATTTCTTCGCATCGAGTTAATTAGCTCACTTGGAGAATTACACACCCCCATCCTTGAACAACGATATTGAGGAAAACGCTCCTCGATCAAACACCCTCCCTGCTATGAACTCCACCACAAAATCATATTCTTCTAAATCCAATCGCATTCGTGCTAATTTGGACGGGGGTTTTTCATTGAAAATAAGTATGATGATGGATGATGATCGGTTTTTACCAAAAATTTGGTACCGTATAGGTATGGTCTGAAATATGTGATTGCCCAGTGAATGGCTCCTTATTCTTTTTATACCCGTACTCAAAAAAGAGTACGCCGGCGCTCTCCCCACTCTGCACATTCTCCCCCCCCTTACAGGATTGCAAAGATTAGCTCTGCGTGCATGCCCCGGACACTATCCACCCAAAAACGGTGCTTTAAGCCACAGGACGGCCGTCTGCTCGGGCGGGGAAGCCTGATTGGATGACCTTAAAGTACAGGTTGGCACCCAAAATGAGCGAGATGGTCGTCGGCGCCAGGCAATTCGAGCAATACTTGTGGAGGAGAACGGCTCGGAGCCTCTTGTCGACGCCCAAGCGGATGAATTTACGGCAATTCATCAAGGGATGGGATCCTGAGCACAAGCGGCATGGATATGAGGTCGTAGCTCCTGACCGTGTGCGATCCGCTCTGCGGCTTGATCTGGAACGTGAGGGAGCTTGCGGGGCTATGTCTGGATTCCGGAAAATGCTAGGATGAAAGAAAGCATTAGTACAGCGCTGGCACGGGTTGTCAACTACTTCAACTGTGATGATCCTGGGATTACTTAGGAGATACGTGGAACTAAGCTGGACTTAAGACAAAAAAAAACGGAGCGACGGGTTTTTTTTATGGATCGGAGCCTACGTGAGAGTAGGTGGAATGGACCTCCGATTCCATGGGCAGGAGGACACCCTTCGTGTTTAGTCGTTTGATAAGGCCGCGGGCCATGAGTAGGTCTACCACACGGACCTAACCATCGGGTCCAGGATACGTTTGCTGTACCCGCTTGAGACGCCATTCCTGAGAGGGGATGTTATCTTCCTTAATCACGACGAGGTCTCTTGTTGGGTGCTGCCATTTGTTACGCTTGTGCAACTCTCGCAGGTACTCTGTCTTCCAGCGCGAACAGAATTACTGGTTGAGAGCCTTGAGATGTTGCCGGTAGGTCAACCACACGGACCTTATCATCGGGTCCTGGATACGATTGCTGTACCCGCCCGAGACGCCATTCCTGAGAGGGGATGTTATCTTCCTTAATCACGATGAGGTCTCCAACCTCTAGGTCTCTTGTCGGGTGCTGCCATTTGTTACGCTTGTGCAACTCTCTGTCTTTCAGCGCGAACAGAATTGCTGGTTGAGAGCCTTAAGATGTTGCGATTTAGGATGGAGGAGGCGCTCGCTTTTATTTCGGGATCCGCCACAGAGAAAGGCGGCCCACCAATCAGGAAGTGGCCTGGTCTTAAAGCCAGCGGATCAGTTAGATCCGTAGACATTGGTCGCGAGTTAAAACAGGCCTCTTTTTTCGAAAGTAAGGTCGCGAACTCCTCTAATGTGTACGTACACATCGACCGTTGGAACAGAGCCTTGAAGCTCTTCACGCCCGCTTCCCCCAAGCCCACCATATGTAGGGCTCCTGGAGGGATACCACAGAGGTCCGAGTGCGAATGGCCTCGAGAAGGTCCACAGCAAGAGAGTGGGATGCGCCGACAAAATTCCTGCCGTTATCGGATTGAACCTCGTGAGGACAACCTCGTCTCGCGACAAAACGAGTGAAAGCGGCTAGGAAGGTGTCGGTGGATAAGTCGGACGTGGCCTCTAGGTGGATGTCTTGGATGGTGGATGGTGAAACACATGAACACGCACACATACCCCTTCGAGATGCGACATGCGCGCCCTGTGAATCTTTTGACATCGAAGTCGACTCCGGTGTATGAGAACGGCCTCGAGAATGTGACTCTTGAGGCAGGAAGGTCGCCCATTAGTTGGGTTTGGAGTCGCTTGCGATGGATGACGCAAACCTTACAGGAGTGGATCACATCCCTCACTGCATGACGTAGTCGAGGGATCCAGTATGTTGCCCGGAGAAGGCGGATAACCATCTGGTTCCCACCATGTAGGGCTATGTGGTGGGTGAATCCAACCAGCAGGCGAACCAGGAGACATGCGGGAGGCAGCAGGATCGGATGCCGTTCGTTGTAGGACATGGATGCCGAGGCTTGGACTCGGCCACATGCCCGCATGACTCCGTTCTGGTCAAGGAACGGATTAAGATTCTGGAGAGAACTCGTGGCCGGGAGTGGCTGCTTGTTTACGAGGCACCGATGTTCCTCCGCATAATGGAAACGTTGTGTTGTTAGGGTGACAGCTTGGAGAGCGGCAGCGACCTCTTTTCTGTTCAGTTCCTCGGGGACATGGGTTGTCTGCCCTTTAACTCGCTGGGTGATCCGCCTAACATAGGCGATCACGCGCAGAGCGGGCCCGAGTTCGGAGAAACGGCTGAGGATATCAGAGGCGCTGCTGGTGATATGGTGCACCTTGACGACTCGCTTCTCCAGGTCAGTCTCAAGGACGGAGTCCCGTGGATATGGCCACTCCGCCTGCGGACCACGCAAACAAGTAGGGCCATGCCACCACATGTCACTTCCGACCAGGTCAGTGGGTCCTAGCCTTCGACTGGCCAGGTCGGCCGGATTGTCCTCGGATCGGACGTGGCTCCATCACGCTCCACTCGACTCTCCAGCACTGGCGCTAGCATTATGCTGCCCAAAATACATAGGGGGAGTCTCTCTTCAACTACGAACCGATTAAAAGCGCACACCAACCCCCAGCTGTATCAATTACCCGCAAATATGTAATTGATGCCCCCGACTACTTTTATTTGGGAATACGGTCTTTGGGAACCTCCAACATCCACCCTCCTACAATCAAACATTTTTGCTTGGATGACAAAGGGGTCAAGCCATCCCGCTGGTTCGAACAGCTGCACAATCTGAAACAGAACATTGCGCTTCGTACAGGACTCCCGCTGAATTAATTCGGGAGGAGCAAAGAAGAACTCATCGGCACTGGCTTGCCATCGGATCCCCAAAGTCGTAGCGATGCTACTTTCTTCAAGCTCTAGAAAGACAGCTCGGAGTAGGTGGTCGACCGGAATGTCGCGCAGTACGCCATTATGGTTTGCTGTCCATTTTCGGAAAGGAAACCCTGCGGAGTCGAGTGCTTCACGTAATTCGAAAATGTAGGAAATCGCCTGCGACTGAGTGTGAGCACCAGCTAGCACGTCGTCCACATACATGAAGGTTACCAGGATGTCGCTGGCCATTGGCAACTGGTGCCGCACCTCTTGTGCAAGTTGCTTGATGACGCGAAGGGCGAGGAACGGTGCGCAATTCACTCCGAAAGTGACCGTGGTGAGCTCATGGTCACCCAAGTCCCCGTTACGGTCGCGAAAGAGTATTCGCTGGTAAGGCGTGTGTTGGGAGGCCACTTGGATCTGGCGATACATCTTGTTGATGTCGGCATTAAAGACGTAATGGAAGACGCGCCACCTCAAGATTTGCATGGTCAAGTCAGACTGAAGGACTGGCCCAGCATGCAAAGTGTCGTTAAGGCTGATCCCGTTGGAAGACGGACTGGAGGCGTTAAAAACGACGCGCAATTTGGTTGTGGTGCTGTTGGGTTTGAACACGGCGTTATGTGGAAAGTAAAAATGGCCGGAGTCATGACTGGGTGTAACCGCTGTCATGTGGCCTAGTTCTAGATATTCTTGAAGAACGGCATCGTACTGCTCCTTTAGCGGCAAATTCCGCTGCAGACGCTGCTCGTTATTAAGGAACAATGTGACAATGTATCTCCCATCGGGGCCTCGTTTAGTGGTCTGGCGGAAGTTTCCCTCGCACATGGAATCTGACTCACTCGTAGGTCTTCCCGGAAGATCCTCCACCTCCCAGAATTTGGTGAGAAGCTCTCCATCGAGAGCTTCGTGGTGAAGGCGGAAATCGTCCGAGTCGAGTCATATGATACCGGACCGTAGGGTTGGGAAAACATCGATAGTGGCCACCATCGATGTTTTCCACAATCGATGGTGTAAAAGCTCGATAGTATCGGAAAATTTTAAACCTCATTAAACAAAGCCAAAATTTGTGAAAACAAATAATAATACGTGTATTTCATACGGTCTTATGTATTAGGTAAAATAAAGAGATCCATTTCAAAAGGTTAAATAACTTAAAAATATTTTATATATCAATATTTTTGTTTAAAAACAGCAGTTTGTCCACATTGGATGTTTTTAGTAATGTCCTTTTTTGCGGAAACTATATCCGCCACTATGCTGAACATTGGTTCAGACTCTGTGGAAGTTGCGGGAATAAACAGACAGTGCCTCGCTATTTGTTGAAGGCCAACGGTTTCATCTGTAAAATTCTGCAACAATAAATTGTTTTAAAATTACTAATTTTAAGCTTTTTAATGGCCGGCAAAAATCCTCCAGCTGAACCCTCCCAGAGGGTGCCGACTGGGCAATGGGCACTGCATTATCCCGAATCGGGTAATGCATTGCCGCTTGCTCTGTCCGGGGTAATGCAGTGTCTAGCCAAGGCCAGGTCCAGGTCTTCCCGACCAAAAATTTGGGGGAACTGAACCATGGCCATGGCTGGAGGTGCCTGGCGGGTAGGCATAAAACGCTAGGGGGTGGTCCCCCCGAAAAATATTAACCAGCATGGACCCTCTGGGCCAACAATGGAGCGGACGGAAGATAAAGCAAGGGTTGGGATGTCAACCCAAACGTCGGTGGAAAGCGTGGCTGCTACCACCGGCGGGCACGGGGAGGAGCAATCCTCTCTGCGTGTCGCCAGCGGCCACACCTCTGATATGACGGGAGCAGGTCATATCAGTTGCAATGCTACTGCCACAAAAACGACTCACTCCAGGTTGAGCCGCACAGGTGCCGTGGTCGATACAGATTCGGACCTGGAGAGCGTGCTCTCCGTAACCAAGACGGAGGAAGACAGCCTTCTCCGCTCCCCGGAACCAGGTTCCAGCTCCCCGCGTAGGGAAGGGCCGAAGCGTTCCAAGGAGGGGTTGAAGGCGAAGGCGCATTACAAAGCGGCCCTCAAGATCGTGGGACGGCTCCAGGGCAGGAAGGACCTCTCTGAGGAGGAGAAGGCCAAAATGACCTGGGCCGAAGGACGGATAAAGGAGGGCCGGCTGCACTTCTCGCAGATGCCGCAGATGAAGGCATCGACGGAGGGATTTGCCAACAAGGTGGAGGAGAGTCTCGCCACCAAAAGGCAACGCTCGACCGAGAGTGCCAAGAACGACACTCCGGTGAGCAAGCGGCAACGCGGGCCCAAGGTGGCAGCCCCCACACCCAAACAGGCGAAACGTCCCCAAAAAGCGAAGGTCAGTGAGGTGACCAAACGACATTTAATCGTGGCACTCATAGACCGGAGCGAAGAGAATGGCAAAATAACGGCGGCGCGGTGGAAGACGGTGCACGCGCGGCTCGTGGATGCGCTGTTCGCCAGAATGGAGGAGGACCCAACGGCCCCCATGCCCACGTTCGATGGTGCAGGGTGGCTCAACGGGGTGAAAATACTTAAATGTATGGACGACCCCACACTCAAGTGGCTGACGCAAACGGTCTGCCAACTGGAAGCGTTGTGGGAGGGGGCCAAGCTGGAGGTGGTGGACAGGGAGCTAATCCCGTCCATACCAAAGGCAAAGGTACTCTTCCCCATCGTAATCCAAGGGGACCGTGCGCTGAAGCTGCTACAGAGGCAGAACCCCGACGTGCCAACGGCTAACTGGAAGATTCTGCACATCGGGAGCCCACTACCCAACGAGGGGGGCCAGAGTGCGATCATCCAGATCAGCAAGGAGGCAGAGGACCTGCTATACCCAAGATTCGGGAAGATGGCGTGGGGGATGGGCAGTGTTTACCTGCGGTTGAGAAAGCGCCACCCCGAGGACAAAGATGCGCACACTCTGCAGGCGGGCGAGGTGGAGAAAGACCTTGGTCTGGACACCATCGTGGAGGCCGCACAGGGTCTTGCGCTGGACTCGGAGGAAGAGGGGGAGGACGGTGACCTGACGGTAGTAGTCAACCCGTCGAGTGGAGCTGAGCCAGACGCACATGGTGAGTGTGCTGCAGCTCAACCTCCACAAAAGTAAAATTGCGTCGGCGGAGCTCCTCTTTGCCATGGAGCAAGGGCCCGCCGACATAGCCTTAGTCCAGGAGCCATGGGTTGCCTCAGGCAATGCTGTGGCCGGGCTAAAGTCCTCAAATTTTAACGTATTCTATACACCATCGGTAAGCAGGAACAGAACCGCCGTACTCGTACGGAAGGGAATCCATGCTCACCTTATGTCTCATTACAGCACTGACGATCTAACCGTGGTGATGCTAGAAAGCAAGGAAAGGCGCCTGATGGTAGCCTCCTGCTACATGGCACACGACAGGCCGGCTCCACCTGAAGAGTTGATGCACCTAGTGGCGGAATCCAGCCCGAAGGACCAGCAACTTCTCGTCGGCACGGACGCAAACGCACATCACAACGTGTGGGGAAGCCCCGACATCAACGATAGAGGTGAGTCCCTCCTAGACTTCATACTATCAACTAACCTAGAAGTAGCAAACGTAGGAGAGGAATACACCTTTGTAGGTCCCACCTCTTCAAACGTGCTAGACTTAACACTCGTAGCGGGAACAAGTACGGTGGTATCTGGCTGGAGAGTCCTTGAAAGACCATCCTTCTCAGACCACAGGTACATCCAGTTTAAGTGCGAATTTGAACACTCTCCGAAGATAACTGTCTATAGAAACCCCCGGAACACAAACTGGGAAAAGTTTAAAAAGACAGTTACCTCGAAGCTCGCGAATCGTCCGGGCACAGTGAAATCCCCGGAAGACATAGAAACGTCCCTAGAGACCCTATCCAGGGAACTACTGGATGCGTACCACGCATCGTGCCCACCCTCGAGAACGAAAAAGAGGACCAAACCACTCTGGTGGAACCGGGACCTATCGCTCCAAAGAAACAACCTCAAAGAATTCTTCAAAATCGCCAAACAGGCGAACGAGGATATGATCAATGAGGAATACAAAACCCTACTCAGGGAGTACAAGAAGGAAATACGCAGGGCACAAAGAAACTCGTGGAGGAACTTCTGCTCCAATATCGAGAAAGTCCCAGAAACAGCTAGACTTCGGAAGCTGCTATCAAAGCAACCCACCATACAGAGTCAGCTGAAACGAGAAGATGGACAGTGGACTGAGGGCAGTGAAGAAGCCCTAACAGCACTAATGGAAGCTCACTTCCCAGGATGCACCGAGGTTGCTGACGCTACAACGCATCAGGACCTAGCAACTGAGGAAGAGCATCCCCCAACAGGTCTCATATCGTCTAAGAAAATCCACTGGGCTATAGACTCCTTTGCGGGTACAAAAGCACCTGGACTAGACGGTATATTCCCAGCCATGCTACAGGTGACCAAAGACGTGATCACCCCATGGCTCTCTGCAATATACTCAGCTTGCCTGAGCACGGGCTATATCCCTATTCAATGGAGGACCTCGAGGATTGTCTTCCTTCCAAAGGCAGGAAAGTGCAGCCATATGAGCCCCAAGGATTACAGACCGATAAGCCTCACCTCCTTTCTACTCAAAACACTAGAAAAGCTGCTGGATCTACACATCAGGAATGATGTAGGGAGACTGATGTCAACCAACCAGCATGCCTACACCAAAGGGAAATCGGTAGAGACGGCACTGCACTCGCTAGTAGCCACCATCGAGAGAGCCCTCCATAATAAAAAGTATGCTCTAGGAGTGTTCGTAGACATATCCGGAGCATTCAACAACGTCACTACGAGCGCTATTATGGACCGCCTAGAAGCGACCAATACACATCCCGCAATCAACCTCTGGATAAAGAACCTTCTAAGTTGCAGACGGGTGCAATCAGAGTGGGGCACCGCTTCCATGGTGAGGGGGGCGCATAGAGGCACACCACAAGGTGGGGTCCTGTCGCCCCTCCTGTGGAACCTGGTGGTCGACGACTTAATAAAGAGATTCGAGAGGAGAGCCCCAAAAATAACAGCCTATGCAGACGACATAAGCATAATTATTACGGGAGTATGTCCATCGACCCTCAGCTCCATAATGGAATCAACACTCAGGGAGATATGTGAGTGGGCAGGAAAAGTAGGACTCAGTATCAACGCGGACAAGACGGACCTCATTCTCTTCACCAAGAGATACAAGGTACCGGCATGGATCCCCCCCGAAAATTGAAAAAACCAGTCTGACCCCTAAAACACAAGTCAAATACCTCGGCATAGTACTGGACAGCAAGCTGGCGTGGAGACCCAATGTAGTGGAGAGGGTGAAGAAGGCCACCATTGCGCTATATGCATCCAAGAAGATGCTCAGCAGCACATGGGGCCTGTCACCTGCTTTAATGCACTGGATCTTCATATCGGTGGTGCGACCGACTCTGCTGTACGGAGTCTTAGTGTGGTGGCAAGCGACAGAAAAGAAGACGTATAATAAGCTTATGGAAAGGACCCAGCGGCAGGCACTGCTCTGCATTACGGGGGCGCTGAGGTCAACCCCAACAAAAGCTCTCGAAACCATAATCGGAATCGACCCCCTGGACATCCACGCTCAACTGATTGCAGCAAAGGCGGCACAACGCTTAGTAGCATCAGGAAACATGTCTCTACAGGGATTCGGGCACAGTTCAATTGGCCGAGACATGACCAGTATATCTGACTACATTATCCCCCAAACTTGCCTGGACGTAAACACAACCTCATTTATGGGACCCGACGACTGGAAAAGGGGTCGGGACCAGACCCAACACATCAACATATACACGGATGGCTCCAAGATGGAGGAAGGAGTAGGTGCGGGCATATATTGTACAGACCCTGAAATAAGGCTGTCCTATAAGCTACCGGACCAATGCAGCATATTCCAGGCAGAAGTCTTTGCCATACGGAAAGCGGCGGAGGTTGCTCGATGTACGGAACGCCCACATAATGTGATCAACCTGTTCGTGGACAGCCAGGCGGCGATAAGATCCATGCAGTCGTCAGCGGTCAGTTCCAAAAATGTCCTGGCAAGCAGGGAGGCATTAGATTTCCTAAGCACGACTAAGTCAGTGCGGATCTATTGGGTTCCCAGCCACCAGGGCATCGAAGGTAACGAGACAGCAGACGTACTGGCTAAGGAAGGCGTCGGGCTGGCAAACGAGAGGACTGAGAACGTGCCTGTCCCCCTCAGAGCGCTCCAAAGCGATCTAGAAAGGAGGGCACACGTAAAGGCCAGCAGCAGGTGGAGGAGAACCACCAACTGCAAGATCGCGAAAACCATGTGCAAGGAGAGCAATGGTAAACTCAGCCAATACCTACTACACCTACCACGGAAGGACTGTAGGATGCTAATTGGTATACTCACAGGTCATTGCCTGGCTGCAGCACATGCAGTCAAACTAGGCATCACCAACAGTGACAAGTGCAGGAAATGTGATGAACCTGGGGCTATCGAAACCCTGGAACATCTAATCTGCCAATGCCCGGCCCTCTCAAGGGCAAGAAACATACATCTTGGCAGCCCGGTACTGGCATCGCTGGAAGATGCATCCAAGAGGACGCCAGCGAAACTCCTTGCCTTTGCAAAACTCTCCTCGATCCTCACGGATTTCAAAACCGCGTAAAAACACTCAGAAGGTCCATACGCACCAATCCGGACAACTAAGGGCCATATTGGCCTATGCGTGGCCCCGTGAGGGCCGTCCGGGACAACCTAACCTAACCTAAGCTTTTTAATTGTTGAATTTAATTGTATTTACCTTCCAAAATTCAAGAGGGTCCTGATTTAGATGGCTCTGCTCCATGTAAGTTTTTAGAGCTTTGATAGAATCTACCCTTTTCGAACCAGCTTTGTCAGCGTGTTTGGCTTTTAAAAAACTGAAAAGTAGATCGTTAATGGACGTTTCACATTCTTCTGGAGCATCTGGTGAAATTGGCAGTTCTTCGGGAGATTGACTTTTCAAAGAAGCAAGCTCATTTTCAATTAAAATGACTGCATTTTGTGCTATATTATTAGACCGGAATCCATCTTTTTTAAACAGTGGGTCTAAAATCGTTGCTATTTTGGTCACTGATCGGTTTTCATAGTGGGAATGTCTTGAATTTATTTTTTCCAATAGAAAACTGCATACTTATTTACCTTCTTTAGTTTTTAGTGCCTTTGTTGATTCGAGTAATTCTGTATTTAGCCCGCATATGATTGGAATTATCAGGTATATTGTTACCTCTTTTGCAGAACATTTTGTGGTGGCACTATCAAAATATCCCAGCACTAGCAGATCTTCAAAAATAGAAAATTCATCCGCCGTAAGCATTTCTGGAGCGATTTCACCAACTTCACTCAATGAAGCATTCTGCCGGTCGATACTATCGATGGTGAACCGAAACAATCGATGGTTGGCTAATTTTTCAACCATCGATAGTATCGATAGCGCTATCGATTTTTTTCTCAACCCTACCGGACCGGATAGGACCCATCCGAAGATGGTCTCTTGTCCCAGCAGCGAGCCAAAAATGTTAGACCGGAAGCCGCTTAACAGGATAGAAGGAATGACGTCCGCGCCTAAAAGCACGTCAATCTGCGAGCTTCGGTGGAAGGAGGGGCCTGCCAAATGGAGGCTTGGAAGCTCGTCCAAAAGGTGCTGCGGTATCGGATACGAGGGCAGGCTGCCCGCCAATTGTGGCAGAACATTTGCCGTAGTCTCGATCTTGAGTCCTGGCCTGGAGGCGGCCCCGAGCAGGAAGTGGCAACGTTTTTGCGCTTTAGCCGCTACGGTTTGGTTCAAACCTGCGACTTGAGCCTGGATGGCTTCGAACGGTGGCTTAATGATGTTGAAGAGACGTTCGGTGATGAACGTCGCCTCGGAGCCTGAGTCAATCAGTGCGCGGGCACGGAAATTGGTCCCCAGGTGGCAAATATTAATGAGTGCCGTGCCCAGAAGAACGGTACTTGTGCTGGAGGCGAAATAGCTCTGTACGTTGGGCTGAGATTCGGATGAGCTGGGGGTTTGGGCGGATGTCGAAGCCGTCACGCCGGATGAAGGAGCGGCACGATGCAGAAGCGTGTGATGCCTAGTCCCACAAGTGGAACAATTGTGGCTGCTGGAGCATTCGCGAAACAGATGACCTCTTGTGAAGCAATTTAGGCACAGCTGATTTTTCTTAATGCAGCTGGAACGAGCATCAGCGGACATGTTAAGAGAGCGGGGACAAACTCGAATCGGGTGATTCTCTTTGGAACAGAGGTCACACGTTCGTTTCTTCGGACTCACTTAGGTATTGAACGAGTGAACCTTGTTTGGCATCGGACTGCCAACTGGACGCCTTTTGAGGGTGGCGGATTCGTAGCCCCTCGTGAGGTGGTAGGGTCGCTCTCAATAGCCTCGAGCGTCAGATAGCGCTGAGTGAGGAAGGAGTCGATTTCCTTCCAAGGCGGCACCTCTTTTTTGTCCGTTACGGACGCTTCCCACAACGCCCGGCTCAACTTTGGCAACTTGGACGCACAGATGGTCACTAGAAGACTGTCCCAATTGTCGGTACATATGTTGGAGACAGCTAGTGCATTCAAGACCCCCTGCATCGTACTTTGCAGATCCTTCAAAAAACGACTGCACTCGGAAGTTACGCGGGGCAAGAAGAGGAGGATGTTAATCTGATTGGTAACCGGAAGCCGATTGTTCTCATATCGGTTACGGAGGGTTAACCATGTGGACTCGAAACCGTCATTGGTGAGGGGGGAGGTGAGGGCCATCTACAATGGCCTTCGGATCGCCCCGGGTCTTCTCGGTGAGGTAATACAGCTTCTCTACCGGAGACAATCTAGGATTGTTGATCACGACCGCGGTGACCAGATCCCGGAATGTGGGCCAGCGGACGTAGTCCCCTGAGAATACCTCAATATTGACAGGAGGCAGTCGACAGCCGCCCTGTTGGACTGGCTGAACCGGCTTGAAGAGGTCACAGGCAAAAGCTTGTTGCTGTTTTTGTGACCTGTTGGAATATTACCAACTCACACCTGCACAGAAAATCGGTCTTGGAAATCTTGGAAGGACCGAAGACTGCTCTGAGTAGAGTTCAAACGGAAAGACGGCCGGAAACAAATATTTGTTCGAAAATATAACCCACTTATGGAAGGCTGCTAGAAAAAGGCCTCGAGCTTGTTGGAAAACAAGAGTCGGGTCGACTCGGATTGTTTGAGATCACCGTGAAGTGAAATTTCTCAAACAATGAGTGACTTATATTGCGCTGAGCCGAGGAGAGGAACGGTCACACTAATTTTGACAATATTTTGCAAATATTGTTAGTGCGGGCTCCTCAGTTTACCTCTTTGGCGCAGTCGTGATCAGAACTGGGTTAATTGCGGATGGACGGCGGACGGAATGGCATTTATTCTCGATAGCTGACAGGAATGGGCTATAGTTTCCTCTATATGTCGGTTTGGATCGAAAAAGTGCAGATAAACTTAGTCGCCGTAAGCGTTACCGGAAGCTTCAGTAAAGAATATGACTTCGGAGTGGGCGCTGGAGAACTATCGGGAGAAATATCGAAGGAACACAGAAAAAATCCAAAAAAGATGATGAAAAGGTTTAAATTATAAATCGTGGATCGTTCAATTTATTTCTTGTACTGTCGGTGTGTTTTTTTTGGAAATTTTCAGACGAGATTAAGGTTTTACTTTTATTTTTTATTTATTTATTTTTGGGCGAACGCAAGATTCGGTTACGATACCGATAGTTTTTGGATTGCGCCACCTCTAACTCCCGAACACCAATTTGACAATTGGCAATGTAAAGGGTCAAATAAGTACGGACAATGCGCCGTGCCTTGGTTGAGGATAATTTATTGTGTGTTTGGAGATACTATTCGTTAGTGTGGCGACCAAAACGTATGGCTGGAACGCGTAAATTGCTCGGAATCGCAGAATTTTTATATTAAATAGTGCCAGTATGTGCGGAGTATATTCGGTAGTATGGAGTGCGGTATTTTTATGCGGGGTGTAGTATTTTTATGTATGTGCGGTAGGTTTATATGTATGTATATAGTTGAAAATATAATTATATTGCCGCTAATAGCCTTTTCACACTGGGGACCATCACTAACCATACAGTATATAGATGTGCCAGTTCATACAACAAAAGGGGCGCAAGCTGAGTGTTCTCTCCCGGCTCCCAGCGCTTCGGCTCTGTGAGACTGAGACACTCGGGTCGGGAGCTGTGCCGTTCGGGTCGGGAGCTGGGCCGTTCGGCATGTATGACTCATGTCGGGAAGCGAAAGCAAGCTGAGAATTGCAAATGTATGTGTAAACAGACACGACAAAATTTTGTATCAATTCTTATTTTCCGAAAACGTTTTGAGTTTCGTTTCCAGGTTACGTAAATGTGTGTGTGCCATGTATTCACACATACTGTGCTTGTGTGCGGGCTCTACAATTGTTGGCCGCTTGAATTGGTTTTTCGTTTTGTTTTGAGGGCTGATGTGATGTAGCGACCTATTCAGGGCCGGATCAACCCTCAACCGGGCCCTGGGCAACCATCAATCTGGGGCCCTCCATTTTTTTCACGCCAGTTCCTTCTTTTTTCATTTGACATAAAAACTTATACATTTAAAGTTTGCTTTATTAATTTGTATTTTTATCAGTGGCTATTATATTTTTTATTCATTATTTGGAGTTTTGTTTTTTCAACAACATTTTTCTGTTATTTCTAGGAGGGCCCTAGGCAACTGCTAATCCGGCCCTGGACCTATTCCCGTCGTAAGACTTCATATTTTCTTGGTGTGTTCTGTCGCTCGACTCGACGCGGGTCGGGTCGAGGCATTGACGAAGCCGTTCATAAAATATTTTTTCGTTTTGTTTTGAAAAGCTGATGTTGCGTCGGGCGCGCGGGGTATTTCTTCCATTCTCTTTTAGGCTAGCCTTTGCCTCTGCTTTCGGCTTCGTCAATGCCTCGAGTCGAGTCGAGCGACAGAACACACCAAGAAAATATGAAATCTTACGACGGGAATAGGTCCAGGGCCGGATTAGTAGTTGCATAGGGCCCTCCTAGAAATAACAGAAAAATTTTGTTGAAAAAACAAAACTCCAAATAATGAATAAAAAATATAATAGCCACTGAGAAAAATACAAAATAAAGGAGGGCCCCAGATTGATGGTTGCCCAGGGCCCGGTTGAGGGATATATGCCTGAATATGTCGCTACATCACATCAGCCCTCAAAACAAAACGAAAAACCAATTCAAGCGGCCAACAATTGTAGAGCCCGCACACAAGCACAGTATGTGTGAATACATGGCACACACACATTTACGTAACCTGGAAACGAAACTCAAAACGTTTTCGGAAAATAAGAATTGATACAAAATTTTGTCGTGTCTGTTTACACACATACATTTGCAATTCTCAGCTTGCTTTGGCTTCCCGACATGAGTCATACATGCCGAACGGCCCAGCTCCCGACCCGAACGGCCCAGCTCCCGACCCGAGTGTCTCAGCCTCACAGAGCCGAAGCGCTGGGAGCCGGGACAGAACACTCAGCTTGCGCCCCTTTTGTTGTATGAACTGGCACATCTATATACTGTATGGTTAGTGGGACCATCCACCATCCATTTCTGGGATGGTCCGTGAGGTTTTGCCGTTCCGAAAATTTCCCAGTTATTCCACCATCCATCTGGGATGTTCCTAATTCTCACGTTTCAGTGCGGTATTTTTTCGATAATTGTCAAATGCAACCATATTTCACAACAAAAAATCGGAGATCACTACGAAAATGTAAACAATGACAGACAGGAAAATATAAAAATAAAACAAAATAACCCCATCAGATCTCACAAAGCACGCAAAAAATAAAAAATATCAAATTTCTGCTGCAGGTGGTTTTATTTTGATGTGACATCCATCTAACATAAAAATTAAGTAATGAAATTAATTTACATATATGTATATCCATATATTATGGATGATTTTATTGCATTATTACCAATTGCACCAGGCACTGAGGAAACCCAATTTCTTCAAATGCTTGGACACACTCGTCAATTTTCTCTGAAGTGAGATAGTTTTTGGACATGTATTCCTCTGAGAATTCGTTGATGAATGCTCTGCAAAACTCATGCAGGATATTGCAGACGCTGTTGGCTGACACTCCGAAAAACACTCTTTTCAGAAGAAGATCCCAAAGTATAAAAAGATATGGCGATACGCTTCTCCAGAGGAATTGCAGCTCGGCAGTTTGTGTCCTTCTTCCGTAGCACTTCCAAGCGAGTAACCAACAGAGA